TGGCAATCTCCCTCCACTAGTGACACCATGGCCACACCAAAAAATTGAAATATTAAATTAGTTTTGTGATTTTACCTAATTTAGCAATAATAGAAGATAATGAAATTTAATTGAGAATGGGATTTGTCATTTGTCTGCAGTATCATCACCATATCAGCACAAAGACAAATTGGGAAAAAGAAAAGAAACATCGGGGGAGAGGGAGGAAGGTGAGTCATGAATGAGGTCCTAAACTCTGACTCAGCCATGACTATGACTCAAAACTATAGCTGGCCTGCCCATTTCTAGATGCTGCATGGTGGGTATGGCCATGGCATCCATCCATAACATGGCATGCATGAAATAAGACCTGTGGGTCATGAAGAGTTTGAAAAGGGTTTTGGGTTTTAGGAAGTGGTGGGCTGGGTCCCGCTCCACGTCAGATGCCCCATGGCGCCGTGTTGGAGTTTGAATTTGCACGCCAAGAGGCAAACAAAGGGGTTCGCTTTGCTCCATTCAAATACGTCTCTTCCATGTTCTCAAAAAGCCCTAGTCTTTGTTCTTAGCATGAGGGAAGAAGATTTTGTTGACCATATGCAAATTACCAATTCCTCCATTAAGTTTTGAGTTTAGGACTTTTTAAAGATTGATAATATAATTAAAACAAATTTAAAACCACATTAGTTTTGATATAAGTATTATATTACCATACAAAATACGAGTAGTCTGTCCGAACAATAATCTTTTAAAACCAAAATTGATAATATAATTAAAACAAATTTAAAATCACATCAATTTTAATATAAATATAATATTACCATATGGAATACAAGTAGTTCGTCGAACAGTAATCTTATAAAATCAAAATGTATGACTTTTCTTGTTTGTTTAACCTGCATACTATATTTTCTATTTGCAGTCATCGAAAGTTTCAACTTTCAACCAAGTAGACAACCTCTAGACTATTAGACCAGACATTAATTTTTTCGTATGACTTTGTTGGCCTCATTAGACTTCCCTTATCATGCTTTAATGAAAGAGGGAAAGAAAAACATTGTTTTGTTTGTCTCAGCAGCCATTAGTCTCGCCTGATAAATTGTTTTAGTCATGTGTTTGAAGCTAAGAATTCTTCCCTGCTTCCCTGCTTGTAAATATAAATGTTTGAAATTGAAAGCGACAATTGACCTAGCGGCACCAGCCGGCATGACTTGCCTTATTCTACACGTGAGATACGTTTGAGAAAAAGAAAAATAAGTTACACACACACACAAACACACAAACGAGAAAGTTAGTTTGATTTTTGAGTACATTTGACTGTAGAACCCTAAGATGGGAAGACACCAACGTGCGTATACTTCAGCTGTTTTTGACATTTGAATCGTGGATAATGTTTTTTATTTATTTTATAGAGGAAAACAATAGTAAAGAGATAAGGTTTGAGGCTTTTGTTCATGAATGTCATGATTATTTTTGCTTTTTTACTGTTTGCGAATAATATGTTTTGTTTTACTTTTTCAGTGTGAAGTAAGTTTTCATCTCCATCATGAAAAGATTGCGACTTTGTTTTTGCTTTTCCCTTTTCTTTTTTGCCAAGCATGAAAGACGTTTACCAACCATTTCTCTAGAGACAAAAAAAACAAAACAAAACAAAACAAAACAAAAGAGAAAGAAAAAAAGACTTTTACCAACCTGGTATATATGCACGTTTGCATGTATAATTAGAGAGAGCTTGTAGCATGTTTAATTGCTTTCTGCCGTAAAAGTCAAATGTAAGTGTGCTTAATGCATGTAGTCATATGAGGTCTTGTTTGTTAACTTGGCTCCAAATATCTAATGCCACCTCATAATATAACTCTCCAGATTAATTTATTTTATGGTTTAGAAACTAAATTTAGTGACAACCCTCTAAGCACCACAAAGTGTGAAGCCATATCTAGGGGATTGAATAACTTGACGTCCTCAACTGCTTTGGTGGGACTGTAGGAGTACCGACTGTTACTTCTCTTTTCAATGTTAAAACATGTCTCGAGTTTAATTTGTTACTCAATTGATGATTAAAAAAAGATTTCGGTGAGTTTTAAGCCGTCGTTTGTTAAGGGGGGAATATTACTAGACTAGACTAGCAAAGTGGCTACATTTCATGTGCAATCAAGGCATAATATGGATATTGTTGTCTAACTTGAAGAATGAAAGGAGAACTAGTCCCCCTATAAAACAAGGCCTAATAGTTAAGTTTGGGATAGTATATTGGGGATAAATCCAAAATATACGAGCCTATTCTAATTTTTTACTGGGCTTGGCCTTTTTATGTTTGGTCCAAAGATTGATGATAGGCCACAATCACACATATCACTTCCATACCTAGTATCAGGGATGATTCGTCCCTAATCATCCTTAAAACAAAGACGGGTATGAAAGATTTGCCGAATGCGATAAAACTTAGAGCTGTGCTATGTGCGTGGCTGACCTTAGTAAAATCCTAAAACGTACGAGCAAACGATGGTTTTGTAATTGTTTGTTTAGCAACTATAACAAAAGAATGCCAATTCTCTCTCTCTCTTTTGGGTAGCCACATTTTCTTTGTAGAGGTAGTTGAGAAATTGGGCCGGAAGTTGGCATAAATTCTGTTTGGAAGTCAAAATCTACTATGGGAAAACTTGTTGGGTTTAAAGCTTCAAAATATTAAACTACATGGGCCTGATAGATAAAATCTGCTGAGGACGGCTAGGAATTAATCAGAAACCTCCTGAAGAAACCACTGATATCAGTCTCCGCCTCTCCTATTGCATTTTATGATTTCATTCTCTGTGATGGACGGTTGCAGCTTCCAACTTACAAACGTCCATATAATTAGCACAGTTTGAGAGCAAAACTTCAATATACAATCAACCCATATAAGCAAAGATGAATTGAAATCTCTATATTTTAGTATTACATATCAATTCCAACAAACAAGCATTAAAATTTGTAGTTTATTCTTGTAATATATATAGAGATCATGCAAATGGTTGGTTAATAGGTAAAACATGTCGGATTTTATGCAAGATTAGAGAAGAGAATGATAGAGACAAGATGAACTCATCAGAGGTCTAAAACTCAGACTTGATTCAATAACTTGAGGTTTGTCATTGTGCATGCATGATGCATGAGATGAGGTATTAACTTTGGACCAGTTTCCACAGAGGAGCATCAACTGATGATTCTTACAGTACAGATGGATAGAAAATTACCCCAAATCCTTAACTTATTTTTGGGAATGATATGATCCAAAAATTTATTAAAAAGAAAGATACTGAATCCCCTCCCTCGCACGCGGTTGATTCATTGGCCGTCAAAGTCCTAATGTTACTATTATCATCTTCCGAGAATGCTCCAACTTGGACTTGGAACGTTGCAGTAGTAGCTCTGGATATTGGGTTCCAGAATTTTCACGTTTTTCGACTGAAGCTTATACCTGTAGCAAACCGAAATCTCGAGCACAAACAGATCTGTGGTGTTACCATCCGAGATTTTGTTGGCCACGTCATCAGCCACGTAAGCATCGAGCGTGGAGAGTTTGAAACTAACTAGTGTTTGGTTGGTGGTGGTTAGAAGCCAGGGACTCAACGACGTTGCTGCGAGCAGCACACGTTGGTACGTTTGATCTAGCTCCGTAATATGTTGGTAGACGGGACTGTAGTAGAAGAGCGAGGCCTGGAGGCTGTCACAGTAGATGTGCCACTTCATGTTGGGGTTCATGGCTACGAGCGTCAGGTTCCACATGGCGGTAAACTCGGAGGGGTATTGTGGCGTGGGTATTGCAGGGCCGCTGAGTGGACTAGGAACTCAGGGTCATACCCTCTTGGAAGCGTCAAGAACAAGGTGAGGACCAATGGGGCTAGAATGAAATAGGGGACCACGATACTGTACACATGATGCAAAAGAACGTTCCCTCACAGTCGAAGAAGGGTTGCCGTATGGGCTGATCACTAGAAGAGGAAGCCGGGATTAAGATGTTGGTGGCTGCTTGGACTCCGGTAGTACTAGTAGTGCCAACCGTGATTTCAGAGATGTTGGTGGCTTCTTTTTCTTGGACTTTGGCTTTGCGTTCCGGTAGTACTAGTACTAGTAGTGGCAAGGCAACCATGATTTTAGAAAGATTAATATTCAATATTCAGGGGATAAGTAAGGAAAGCTGATTGGATAAGTTATAAGGATATATATATATCTATCAGAATTTGAGAAACTCATGGAAAACTTTGAAGAAGAAAAATCAGAATCCGTTAAAGAAATAGAACACCAAACTAAATCTCTTTTTCTTTTCCTCACTCAAGTTATATAATTAATCTAATCAAGTAGCATTAAGTATCATTGTATCAATCATGAATCATCACTCTCAACACGCATAATGTAATTTCACACAAAGCTTTATCAAATCAGTTTCATCACTGTCAACAGAACTGGTAAATCATCATTGGCAAGACGGTTTGCTAAGAATGTCAGCAATCTAACTGAAAAACATCTCTTTTGTGCATTTTACTGAGAAGAACCATTTTTCTATGTAATAATGAAAAAAAAAAAATTCCAAGTTTTGATTTATGAAGAAAAAAAGGAGTGAAAAGTAAGGAAAAGCTGAGGTTAAGAGAGAACCAATCATAGCCCTCCTTCCCTCATAGTGCAATGATTGGTTGGTTGGTTGGTTTTGCAGCATCATCTGAGGAGGGCAATGAGCATTGACACGGTAAGACATTTGAGTTCCTCTTGGGGAGTCTGTTGCCATAAATTTGCTTCAGTCTCAATGAACCCCAAAAGACCCCGCGGGGGGGGTGAGGGGAGAGAGAGAGAGAGAGAGAGAGAGAGAGATTACTTGTAATGGGTTCTGGGAAAGGAGGCCTGTGGAGCAGAGTTGGATTGTGTTGGTGATAAGGAAGAAGGAAGAGTTCCATGGTGCAATAATGGTAAATAACACTTAAGACTGACAGTTAAGAATCAATGCTTTAGTTGGTTTAGTTTTTGTAACAGAAAAAGAGAGAGGATAATCATCAATGCTTTGTGCATGCCTTGTCTGCATCATCTGAAACAGAATGCCTTCCAAAACACTTGACTTCTTCATGCCTTTCATTCTCAGCCAATCTTCTTCCTCTTCCCCTGTCACTGCCTTCCACCCATCTTTTAAGCCTTTGAATTAGCTTTCTTCTTTTCGAACAAGCCTGATCACTGCTCACAATTCTGTAGCAAGGCTCATTGTGCTCCAAAACCATGTTAGTTAATTCATGCTTTAACCCATGATTTATGATGTTCTTTTTGTGTTTGATTCCTCATCTACTCGTGCCTTAAGCACACGTTGCTTCACCACAAGTAAATCAGTTCCTTCAGTTCAGCTGCATCATCCTTCTGCAGCTGCTCTATTTCCTTTTCGAGGACCTCAAAGTTGATCCTGTCCCTTCCAATCTCCAATATGTGATACCTCAAAGTGGTTAGACTGTCAATACATGGAAGGGAAAACAATAGATATACCAAATTTTCCTTTATATATAGCTTCTAAATTTCTTACCCTTTCAGCGCATGTTTGTTGATCATATGAATGAATACATACATTAGTTTATGTGATTCCTAACGCTTTAAAGAAGAGTGGTGTCACCTTTGGAGAATGAGGAAGCTGATTTTTCTGCAAATTCAAGCTTTTCCAAGACCACATTTTTCTCATCCTGCACTTGGTCCAAAACCACTCTCAGCTCCCCAATTTCATCTTCTAGTTTCTTGATAACCTTTGTCCTGGTTTCTAGTGCATCATATATTCTCAAAACTTCTGCTTCCCTAGCTTCAAGCTTCAAATCTTGTTCTCTTATTGTTTGAGATTGCCTTCTTCCTTTCCTCAAAAGCTTTTTTACCTTTCTCTGAAGAAATCCATTTTTTGATTTCCAATACTCGAGTTGCTCCAAAACTCTCAAATATTCTACTACCAACTGCTCAAGCATTTGGCTCTCAGCCTCTATGGATGAAACTTCTCTGTTCAAGAACTCAACATGAACCATTTCCAATAACAACATATTCCTCAGCTCCACAACATATTCTCTCTTTCAAGTCACAGTAACGGATAGATTGCATCTCCAACTCAAATTCTCTATTTTGAAGATCATCAAGTCAAATTTCTAGGCGCGAAATCTCTTCCTCCAATTCGGGTTTCTTATATCGAATCTCCAAACTTTCTGCTAAATTCATGACATTGGCATCCATGATAATCGGTTCATGATCTTCCATGGAAAGCACATATGTAGAATTGAAACTATGAAAGCTATCCCCATCTCTAAGCCTTGGAGAAATATTGGTCTCTGGGCGAGCTCACCTCATCATCATCAGTTTCTAATAAAGACTCTTTAGGATTAAAACTTCTTTTAGCCATTATCCTTGCACAGATGAAACCAGCCACAGACAAAGCTAAAGGAATCCGAGCTTTACGCAGCATATGCTTTATGATGACTTGTACCTTCGATGTTGAGCTCTCCATCTTGCAAATCAAACTCAAAACGGAAGTACAAGGGGAACTTGGTTTCTTGAATGTCAAGATTTTTTTTTTTGATGGTGGTCAAACTTGGTTTTATTATAAAGCTTTTTATTATTCTTTGCCTTTGTGTTTTGTTTTAGCTTGCCTTAAAGAGATGTATAAAGGTCTTTGTTGCCTTTATATTACACTATCAGAGGCTGAGAGCCCTATTGTGTCACTTTCATTCCACTTTCTGCTTGGTGCTTTTTAGCCAGCCTTCTCAAGAATAGCAGTCACATTGGTTCCTGATGGGGCTGGAGCTGCTACTGGAGATTGAGCAGAAACTGTGGCTGAGTGGAAGAAGAAGATGATCAAAGTGAAAAATGTAAAGAAAGATAAGGCTGCCATCCCTTTTTTATTTTCTGGGGGAGATTTTTATGTTTTTGGCCTGGTGGGTTTTGATCAGAAAAAGAAGAAGGTGGAGGAAATGGGCTAAGGTTGTAGAGGAGTGAGGGTATATATTTTGTGGGTGGGAGTAAAAGAGAGTGTGAAGTTAGGTGAAAGAGAGTAATTTTAAGGTAGCAAGACAATGTCATCTGAAGCCAATGTGCATCTTTTTCTTGGCAAGTAAGAGGAACAGTGAAGGAGAGAGGGGGGGGGAGAGGGAGAGAGAGAGAGAGAGAGTTTTGCTTAATCCACTTTCAAATGCCATGATTTTAATAACATTCCTGATTAGGAGGGATTTGCATGCATGTTGACGTGTCAAAGTCTCGTCCCTTAACACCACCACGTAGCACTTTAGACCTCACTCCAACTCCACGTGTCACCTGCCCAAAATACTACGAAGACTCGAAAGCAAAGCAACCATTACAGGTAAAATTATTCAGGAAGGAAGTTGGAAGCTTTATCCCATCCTAGCTGCGATAAGAGAGAAAAGTAAATTGTTTCCTTTTTCTTGCTCTTGGAGATGGATACAGCCCCAAGCAAACAAAGCTGATGCAGCTGCGAAAGATGTCAAGAGGAGGTCCTAGTTTGCTTTGCTTTCCTAACGGCTCTGTGGTGTTTCTATATGGTTATGTGTCTTCAGTGTTTGCTTTGTTTTTTTCGTGTTTCGGCCATAAACCATAATCCAGCAGCATTAATAAGAATATGAATTGGATCAAATGGCAAGTCATCATCAGTATGTAACACATGATGATTCCGCCATTTCCCTTTCTTCCAACGAAAGTGATTTCTCTTTATTTCAACAAAAGTGATTTCCATTTCTTTCATCGAAAATGATTCCCCTTTCCTTTCAACGAAAGCGATTTCGAACAACAACGAAAGCAACCACAAGGTATATGCATAAAAACTGTGTTTGTTTGATAGAAGTTACTTATAAGTAAACCAACAGAGTTTTGGAAGTTAATTATTAGTAAACCAATAGAGTTTCTCTTCAGGGACCTTGACCTCTCAAGCTACCTCATGCACCTGCCTGTTCTACCAGAGCCCGTACTGCTGCTGCCTCCTCTTCCCGTGCCCCTTCTGTCTGCTGCAAAGAGGCGCTTGCACAACATGGCACCAAGTTGTGCACCCTACAATTTGTTTAAATTAAACAGCTTACCAACAACGAGAAAAGGCGGACCATACCTCCAGGAGTCATAGTGGCGGTGCATGATGTCAATTGCCCTTTTCATGGCAAGGGTACTCCAAGCCAACCAAAAGATGACAAAATATTTGCCACCGGTTGTTTTAAAGTGTAAATCGCCATAACCCACCAATGTGAAGCAGAGGTAATCGGGTAAAAGAGTAGCATTCGATAAAGCAACTACCCATAATCATAACAAGAAACAAAGGACAATATTGATGATGTACATTCAATCAAAAATCCTATGATTCAAATGAGTGATAAGCCTATCACTGAACCAAATCATAAGGAAATTGACACAAGGGTCCCACATACATGCTACCAAACCCAATTACAAATATAGCAAACCACTTCTACCCAATGTTATGGGCTACGAAGTCCCCATATCCCACGGTTGTAAGTGTAACAACGGCCATGTATATTCCATCAAGTAGAGAGTGATGGACAAGCTTAGGGGAATTCTTATTGGGAGAGAGATAGTGAAAATAGGAAAAACCAGTTATAACTATGGCGAAGTACAATGCACAAGAATCAATGGAAATGGTATCGGCTGTAAGGGCTAGTTGATGTTGAAAATATTCCCAGCCATTATTCTAAAATAAATCATGAAATGGAAATGGTAACGGCTGTAGGACTAGTTGCATGAGTTATGATTTTGTTTTCAGGATTTCTTTTAGAATAATAGCTGGGAATATTCAACATCAACTAGCCATACAGCCGATACCATTTCTATTGATTCTTGTGCTTGTACTTGAGTGTGCACTATACTTCACCATAGCTATAACTGGTTTTTCCTATTTTCACCATCTCTCTCCCAATAAGAATTCCCCTAACTTTGCCCCTAAGCTTGTCCATAACTCTCTACTTGATGGAATATACATGGCCGTTGTTACACTTACAACCGTGGGATATGGGGACTTTGTGGCCCATAACATTGGGTAGAAGTGGTTTGCTATATTTGTAATTGGGTTTGGTTGCATGTATGTGCACCCTTGTGTCAATTTCCTTATGATTTGGTTCAGTGATAGGCTTATCACTCATTTGAATCATAGGATTTTTGCTAATGTCAAAAAGATTGAACGTACATCATCAATATTGTCCTTTGTTCTTGCTGTGATTATGTGAGTGATGGGTAGTTGCTTTATCGAATGCTACTCTTTTACCGATGGCCTTTACCTATGCTTTGGCTCTCACATTGGTGGGTTATGGCGATTTACACTTTAAAACAATCAGTGACAAATATTTTGCCGTCTTTTGGTTGGTTTGGAGTACCCCTATTGTGAAGAGGGCGATTAACATTATGCATCGCCACTATGACTCATGGAGGTATGGGTTTCAGCCTTTTTTTGTTGTTGTTAAGCTTCTGTTTAATTTCACTAATTTAAACAAACTCAAACATATAAAGATATTATATACACACATATATGTATGCACTTATGAATTTGAAGACTGATATACAGTAATATAAATATACACATTTATATTAATTATACATTTTGTTTTAAAAACCTTCTTTCTGTACTATAACATTTATTAAAGAACTTCTTTAACTTTCTCGAGCAACCAAGTCAGATCGATTTTCTTTAACTTTATCTAGTCAGATCGATTTTATTAAAAGAAAAAGAAAAAGAAAAAGAAATTTAATGTTGTCATAACCAAGTCAGATTGATTTATTAAAAGAAAAGGAAAAAGAAAAATTCCTAGTGGAGAAACGGAGCAGAGCAGTGAGCAGTGGAGCCGCAGAACAGAGCCGAGGGAGCTATAATGCTCCTTGGAGCATATAGTTCTTTTCTTCGTTCTTTTCCTCCAAAACCCAAAAGTTCGCTTGTGAAAATATGATGTGAAAGCCAAAACCTAAGAGGGGTATAATGTTCACAGTGAAACCCAAATTTCAAAAAATTCTTACATTCAAGGCCATGTTTCATTGAACTCTTAAAACAACCACAAAAGTTCATAAGATTACACTAGCAAAAGGTGCCCGCGCGATGTGGCGGGTTTTAAAATTGTGTGAAATGTGTATAAAGTGATGAAAATAGGCAGGGAGCATTGTTCTATTTATATATACATGACAATGTAAATAGTGTCATCGCGGTTAGTTTTCCAAGTTTTAGTTACAAAAGATAAACTAATAACATGTTTTATATGCTATTTGATATCTTAAAATATTGGGCATATTTTAATAGATGAAGCAGCTATAAAAACATCAAAATATGAGAAGTTTTGAGCTGTGAATTGTTCAAAATAGCTTGTACAATTGTCAATTGACACCATTAGCTAATTCCTATGCTCTATTCACAAAACTTAAAACAATTAATTGGAATTTCAGCCTAGAAACTCACCTCCTGCTTAACATAACCGAAAACACCAACCAAATTGCTCTATCCAAAGCAACAAAAGACACCTGCAAAATATCAAAAGAAAACATGGTTTAGAAAAACGAGAATAAAAAGGAAGAAAAACAGAAAAAATGGAGAAGAAATTAGCTTGAGTATTTTATACATGCACAATCTTTTTATAAAACCAAAAAATTAGCCTGAGCAAAATCTGCATGGATAGAAATCACTCGAGACAACCCAAATTAATGTGTTTTGGGCAAAGAAAAACACTGTAAAAGCACAGAGAAAGGGCTGTTTAAATGATCCTAGATGCATTTGAAATAAAGAATATACAATCAAAAGTTACTGGTCTAAACAATCAAAAGTTACCTATGCAAAAGTCTTGATTGAGTATAAATGTCATCTTTATGAGGGCTCATACACGAAAGAGGGATTGAAATTGCCTTGTATTTGATTGAGTATCAATCATGAAAATACGCAGAGAGTACCATTAATAAGTTTGTTAAGCCAAATGGAGAATAAATTACATATTGTGTGCAAGCACAAAGTAAACCTAGTAACTTTTTTTTGGGTTACAATTAAACCTAGTAACTTTGAAAAGGAAGAAAAAGAACAAATTTAATTATCCAAATATGCTATTTGTCATTATATATATGGATAGGAGCAGCCAGAAGACGAATGCTATTTGAAAAACAACAATATAATATTTGACATATAATCTTATTCTCCGTTTCATCAGTCACTCAAATCTTCCTTTTCAGAAAGCCAATTTTAAACAGAGTAAATAAAGTCCAAAAATTCAGTTCCCTTGAGAATACCTTTACCAGTCAAAATTTCAAAATCTAACAACAATAGGAACCCAATCACAGCTGCCTTCCCATTTATCAAAACAGAACAACACACATATATATATATACAAAGGTACAAACTTGGACTGAAATAACACACAAAGATGCATAATTTCACTCACACAACTGAACCCAATTCCCTCCACTTCCATTTATAACCCTCAAATTCACTTCGTATTTGATGGCCCTCGTGCCATTGGCATGAATTTGTTA